CTACGGGTGCTTTAATATAGGACAAAACCACATTTACACAAACACCTTCACACCTTTATCAGTCTCGTTCTTTGGTTTCTTGCCACTGCTCTTGGGTGGTGGAACGTTGTCATTATTAGTGGTCTGGTGATTGGTAGGTGTGGGTGAATCAGCCAGAGGTTCCTCTACTAGAAAACAGAAGTGTTACAGTGGTGTTACACAGCCCTCAATATATGACATAATGCGTGACAACTTTACATGCTCTAATAATAAATACCCGGCTCAGTCTTCTGCTTCTTTGCATTCTTCTTCTTTCCACCGGTGGCAGGTGGGGGAGCCCCGTCAACAGCTTTGGTTTCAGCCACAACAGGAGCTTCCTTTTTGACTGGAACTGGGGCCTGCTCTGGTTTAGCTTCTTGTGGTTGGTCATCCACGGACACTGGATAGAAGAAAATGTGTGCCGTGACTCATAGATTTTCTCAAAGCACTGAGTGTTCCACTTCCTGCTAATGTGTTTACCAAAGCTACTTTGTTCTACATCGACTGTTACTATAGATTTTTGATAATGCAGAAAACTCATTCAGACAGCTTGCCAATGAGGCCACAAGGAGGAAAACATGTGCAACATTTCAAAAACTAATCATTCACAAGAATTAACACAACACATCGCAGCTGTCAACATGAACTTGGGAATAGTGCCGGGAAAGTGACATTTTAATCCAGATTCAGTCATGACTCATAGTCAACGATCAGCTTGGGTCTTTTTTAAATCATAATGTTTCTTCATCAAAAACATATCCGGAGTTTTGTGTATGTTTTTTTTCATTCATACATGTTAAACACACAAACTCTGTGTTATGAGCTTTGGAGAATTAGACAGACTAATAAAGAGTGAGTAAGACAAAACACAACTCTGGGTATTCTTTTGATAAGGTAACAACATTTTAAAATGGCTTAAAATTCACAATAGTCAATTTTCCGAGATCCACATCCAGTCTTTTGCCAGTAAAATAATTTGCAGTGATTTAGGTTTTGTAGAAATAAATTGGGGCTTTTTAATTTATTTTTGAAAAGGAAAAAAACATCTATATTAATCAATATGAGATTTTTTTTTTTCCTACCAAATCGCTGAGCCTTTCTTTCATCACAAAGAGTAGAAGAGACAGACAGACATTGTGTTTGTCACTCACCGGGTTCAGCCTTCTGTTTCTTCTTCTTCTTCCCAGAGCTCGGAGGAGGAGGAGTTTGCTGAGCCTGGACTGGAGGTGCAGACTGGAGTAGCACCTGCACCTCGGCCTGGATGTGGGGAGAGGGCGGGGTGGACTGCTTGCTCTCGCTCACATGTGCTTCGGCCTTGGGGCTCGCCTGTTTGGTACCGTTCACCTCTGGCTCCTCAGTGGTGGGAGGAGACATGGCAGCAGCGGCGGCGGCGGCGGCGGCGGCGGCAGCAGCAGCAGCAGCAGCGTTCTTGTTCTTCTTGTTCTTCTTCCTCTCCCTCAGACCGGCTGGAGGCTCGGCTGACACTGGGGGTGCGTAGGCAGCAGGGACGGGGGCGGGTGTGGGCTCAATTATTGGTTCTTCCTCCATTTCCAGAGGGGAGCTGTTAGTGACATCCGTTACCTCGAAATCCCTCACATCCTCCTCCGATTCGCCTCCTCCACCTCCTCCACCACCTCCAACAGCAGCGCTCTCCTTCTTCTTGCTTTTCTTCTTATCGGTCTTCTTGCGTGTGTCTGGTTTGGCCACTGGGAGTTTGAGGTCTCGTTTCTGCTTTGCCAGGACTTCGTCATAGGAGGTCTCTTTCATAAAGAGCCAGAAGAAGAGGAACATGAGGGCGATGACCAGGGAAGGGGCCAGGATGAGCAGGTACTGGGAGTCGTAGATATCCACCGCCATTCTGACAAGAGTAAATGGAGTTATTGCAGTGGCTGCATTTGGCAAGAGCATTCCTTAAAGGTGCACTATGTCACTTTTCTGGCTTTTCTTTTCTCATGAAGAAGTTACTGCTTTGAAATGTACTCCAACATTAAAACTTACTCAGCTCTGTGGAGACAAGCATGCCCCCAAACATGAAAGACTCAGGTCAGATCTATGGAGAGGCAACCCTACTCAAAAGTAAAAATAAATGTTTATCAAGGCAATAAAACATCTGCAATTGAATAAAGATATACCAGTACATGTGTTATGCCATACTGCGAAATATTTCAGGCAAACAATAACATTTCCATGGAGACAAACAAATGTCAGACCTTCCACCTGAAAAGCTGTATAGTGCACCTTTAAATTAAAATAAATATGTGAGTGATAATACAGTAGTTTCAGCAACAAAGACTCAATTGTACACAGTCTACAATGCCAACAGGAGACCTGAGGAAGCCACATAATGAGGAGTCAGTGTTGCAGCCTGGGCCCTTTCAGTAATTTGGATTAAGAAGAAGATTACCCTTGATAATGCATTAACCTTCCCAGTGACACTTCCTGTGAACCACATGTGTAATGCCTTCAGTGTGTTGCTGCTGCTGATGCATTTCACTTTCTTCTAAAGTATCCAATTCACAACACACCAATATAAAAGGCTTATTGCATAACATTTCTAAACTGTGTTATTACATAACTGCTTCATAGTCAAATAAAAAACTTATTATTGGGGCTCAAAGGGAAATACTAGTTTTCAAGCCATACTTTTGACTTTTTACCTCTTGGAAACAAAAATCATTAAGTAATACTCATTTAAGCTTTTAAAGAGCATGTTTAACCCCAGGTCACAATTTTATGAAAATGCTATTTTCAAGATGAGCTTATAAAAGGCTGGCAAAGACTACACAAACAATCCTGAAAAAAGTAATTTGACTCATGTGCTACTACTGCACATTACACATGGTTTAGTTTTCCTTTATTATGGGGCAATAGTGGGATGGTAGTAATAATAACAGTAGATAGTGGTTAGTCATACTTGTACTTCTACTTTACCTTGACACTTATAAAGTATTTTACTTGATCGTGAATAAGCAGAACTTTGGAGTAGGATTGAAATATGTTTTTCACCACTGTAAGGCTATGTAAACCAAGCAACAAGACTGCTAATGCTATTTTCAGTTTTGTGTTATAGGAAACTCCGGGGCTGGACATTTAAAGCTATGACATAACTCCAAAATGTAGACCTGCTTATTGGCTGATAGAGTCTGGGTGGAATGTGCAGTCTGAAGACTCACTATATTGTTATTTTCTTGAGTTTTAGTAGAAGGTGTGTGAATTTGCCTGTAGAAAGTGAGACCTGTCCTAGCATCAGAATGAGCCTGCAGGACAATGGCCTAGCACGCTGTTGGCTGCTTGGAATCCAACCTACTTGGCCACGGCAGCGCCTGAGTTCATAGGCAAATTCTAATAACTACTGAGTCTTAAGCACACCAGTGACTTTCAAATCATTCCAGACAATTGTAATATCCTACTAAAACATCTATGGATGATAAGATACAGTGCAAAAGTCACAGACGTAACTTATTCCCTTTTATGCCCTACAGAACTGCAGTATATCTGATATCAACTATCAATATTGTCGCAGGTAAGGAAGCAAAGTACATAGTAAAGTGCCAGAACAGAGAGGAAACATTAACTACTTGATATGAGTCATTTACTTCCGAGATAGTGTTTCATGTTTAGTATTGTTCTATGTTAATATAATTCCTACTAGCAGTTTCGTAAAAGTTAAAGATTACCCAGAAAAAACACTGAAGTAAAGAAGAAAAAATTTGACTAGGCACACAATAAATAAGGGGTGTTACCTTTATACACCTATCTAATTAACAGAAAGAAAGTATTAAAACCATCCCAGAGCGATCTCGTAAAAAGACAGCACACAAACTTGCTGGTCCATTTAAAGGGGCACTCTCTGGGGTAGAGAGTACTGAATGTCCCAGCAGCACTACTTGGACACGTCAATTCAAATCACTGCCTGCTTCAGAGCGACACAATCACACAAAAACAAAACTAAAGTCAACATCTCATCTATATAACCATTCATAAGCATTACAAGGCATTTGATCTAGTTTAGCCAAATAACTAGAAAGTCTGTCACTTAAACGTGCTTAAACAAAAAGAGAAAAAAGAGGAACATGTGACGACGTTGTAGGCTGGGTCAAGTCTTAATATACAGTTTATTTCTGGACAATGAATGAATCTAAAAACGATCATACGCGTGATTGCAGATTGACATGAAACGTGTAATATGAATGAGCTAACTTAGCTAACATAGCCAGAGCGTGAGGGCGACACTAGTGTTAGCTTGTGCGTGTATTAGTGTGGAAGATGAAGTACTTTGAGGAGAAACGAGCTCAGATGTTGAAACTGTTCCTCTGTATGTAACATTGAGCCGATGTGGAGGCGTGGGTCGGGCCTTCCTACACGGTGACCCAGCCTCCGCGTCTCGTAAACCTCTGAGCCGGCTGCTGCCTCTCCTTCCCCGGTGAACTCCTAGAGAAGGGCCGATCCCAGGCCCGAGGAAGGAGCTCAGCCGGTCTGGCGCCACACCGGATGCTTATGTGCTAATAAACCGGTAAATCTCGCGAAAAGGGCTAAAACTAGCGACATACCTGTAGCTTGAGTAGGCTGGTCCCTATAGCGGGGAAATGGCGTTACTCCGCGTTGACTCTCGCACACTCCTGACTTCCCAGGGCAGCTCCAGCCTGCCTTTCTTCGGCTCTCTCCGTCACACTCTCCGCCGCCACTGCTGGTTCGCGGGGGCGGGTCATAGGCTCGTTTCAGATGTGCGTTTGTTTTGTACCTCCGCGTACACCGATAAATGCTACACACGGAATTTGTAACGCCTCGAGACTAAACTCCACCCTTCCCAACTGAAACGCTCCTCTGATTCAACACACATAAATGATGAGCGCAGTGAATAAAATGAAACGCTTCCAAAAGAGTATACTTGTATATAAGTCATTTAATAAATATTTTGAATATATTAACTACATTTGAAGAACGTTGTAAAAGTTTTTGTTTTTAAAGTTAAGTAAGTCCACAACAACCCAAAGCTAATTATTACTGAATTCCAAGATCTCAACTTGAGGGCCCCTCCCAATACCAAGGCTGACTCAGTCATTCCTCTTCAGTCTCCACAGATGCAGCTAGCTGTTGTGCAGCCTGTATGCCTGCTTCATACTGTTTCTTCAGGCCTTTCAGGTACATGCGCAAACTTTCAGGGTCCAGCCTGGAGTTCCTTGCGGTTTGTAGGAGACGGGTGGCCAAGTGGTACACTGCCCTTTCGATCTGTGTCTCAGGATCACTCTGTATGTTGCCCTGTAACAATAAGACATATAGCTGGGTATCATTAAGAAGTTTATGATACATTTCTCGATATGTAGGCCACGATACAATACATATCTTGATACAGTGCATTTTCGGTTTGATACAATATATTTCAAATTGATTCAGTACGGTTTAATAAAAAATAAATCATGGCTAAAGGTCTTTGTCAAACCACTTCTTGTGCGACCTGAATATGAAACACATCCATTTTAATCATCAAAACAGAGAAAATGTCAAATGTGTCGCATAAATGAGATTCCTTCTTCTAAACAAGCAACAAAACTGTAGTGCTGTAATAAAATAATTTAGTAAAATATACAAAAAAATCAATACAGCAGTCCTCGATATCAATACTGTATCATCATATTAAACGATACGACATATTAACATTCGATATTTTTGCACAGCCCTCATAAAACATGACATGACTTCTCATCTCACAGCCTCCATACTCTCTGGTCTGTATGATCCATACCATGAGCTGCTGGCTGACATTAGAGGCAATTGTCTTGGCCTCATGGACAATGGCTGGAGGAAGTGCAGTCATTTCTGCTGCTTTGAGGCCTACAAATCAAACAAATAGTTATTGGCGGACATAAAATGTGGGTGTGGATGTTGAACAGATGTTTACCGTAATGTCTTTCTTCAGAACATCCTCTGTTTATCAAGTATGTATAGACCACATTCTCATCCCCAGTTTCAACATTGCGTGTGTGTTGAACCTCCATGTGCTGGTTCTCCACGTTTGGGTACAGAGACTCCAGTTGGCAGAGCTCCAGAAAATGGGTGGCAAACAGAGTGAAAGCCTAGGGAAATACAGGTGTGTGGACTGTATATATATAAGACATATAGATTGTGACTGCAGATGTGTAACTTGTATGGTTTTCATGTGTACTGTGTGAATAGTCTACCTTCAAGCTAAGAAGGAACTCACAAACAGCATGACAGATGCCAATTCCTTCCTCTGCACTTGTGCCTCTCCCCAGTTCATCTATTATGATCAGTGACTTGTTGCTGACGTTATGTATAATGTAGGAAACCTCAGGAGGCGTGACATTAAATGTGAGTAATTATATTTATTCAATACAAGAATCATCAATTTAAGTAAGTCATACCTCTTTCATTTCCAACATGAATGTGGAAGAACTAGTCTCAAAATCATCATCCACACCTATTCTAGTAAATATCTGATCAGCCACTCGAAACGATGCATATTCAGCAGGCACAAAAGATCCTAAAACATCATAAAGCATTAATATTCTGTCACTGAATAAATATAATTATGCTATGATTCAAATGAGTTACCTATCTGTGCCATAATCTGACACAGTGCCACCTGCTTTAGATAAGTGGATTTACCACTCATATTGGGTCCAGTTATGATGACAAAGTTGCTGCCCTCTGAGATGTAAGCATTATTTGACACAGGCTGCTGTCCAGCAATCCGCTCCAGAATAGGATGACGGCCCTGTTTGATGGCCAGTGTGTCTGTGAACTCAGGACGTACTGTGAAATACAAATACAAATACAAAAAACGTGGCTCAGTTATTAAGAGCATTGTCCACTGATCTGAAGGTTAGCGTTTCAAATCCCACTCTTGATATAAACATCACTGGTTGAATGGTCAGATCCACTGACCCACAGGTTGACAGTGCAAATCCTACGGATGAATGCTATCATTGTGTCCTTGGGCAAGACACTTAACCCATCTTGCCCCTGTGTGTGGGTGAGTGGTTTCTTGATGTGAAATACTTTGAGCACCTTCAAGGCTCTATATGAAAATATGACTATTAACCAAAATATGAACTATGAATATCATACATAAATTCTTTCCTCTGCGTGTGAAGGCCATTGTTTGTTCTAGACATGACTAAGCACAGTAACGGTAGTAAAGGTGTGCCATTTATAACGCAGAGAGAGCAGTTGTTCTAGTCCGCTCTCCTGATGGGGAGAGCCACACACTAAATACAGTGTGTGCCACTGCACACTTATGTAACAGGGGTAATGTGAGTGAAAGCTGGTTGGAAAGAGGGGGGCAGGCAGTCAGCACGTGTCTATGTAGAGACACTTAGAGACAGCTGAGGGCCAGTGCCACTACCCACACGGCTGAATGACTTAGTGCTGCTCACAACCCACACAAAGAAGTAAAGCAAGCGGAGCTGCCAAGTCTGTGCAGTGGATTCTGCCTGTCAGGAGTGAATTTGTCTGCATCATGTGCTTACACAAATCCTTCCCAGAACAATTCACTTTTCCTTAAGGTCAATACAACTGTGGTGAGTGGCTTAAGTGAAGAACACTCACCGTAGTCGGAGATGGTGCATGCATTTGCCAGTGACAACAACATGTCCAACATGGACACAGCATCAGACAGCTTGTACAGGCAGTGGATGCGCTCATGGACAGTGCTCAGTAACTGGCATATCACCCTGTGAGGGGACAAGATCGAGGATGTAGAAGAGAAAATAAAAGTTTAATGGCTATAGTCTACCCTCTAGTGGCCATAATGCAAACCTTTTTTTTATGTTTTCACATGATGTAGAAAGCTAGGTAATCAATCAATGACTTATGTTACTTTAACTGATCATTTAAATAATATTTGACAAGCAGTAACAGAACAGTAATCTTTGTGCTCACACATAAGACATATGAAAGATCTCCCTCAGGGCCTCGTCACAGCGGTCATTCATCTTCATAAGATCTGAAGTGGTGAAACTGTAGTTGTTCTTTTGCTTGGTTACCTGAGGGAGCAAAAATGTTACATAAGAGCTTTAATATTACAATATTTTTAGAATAAAACCAATACCTTTATGAACTCTGAAGGAAGTTTGTCATCTTGTAGCACTATTCCATCTAACTTCATTTGGATAAAAAAACCACGAGCGGTGCTGAAACTTGTTCGCATTGGTAAGCCATATTTCTGTCCCATTTGGTTCACAAGTGCTACAAGGAGCAAACAACAATCAGCATGGATCAGTTTGATCACTTCATATTCATCCACATAAACAGAGATACTTTATATAACATATGTATAAGAACACCTGCAATGTCATCCACTATTTCAGTGTAGGCTCTGCGGGCAATGTCCAGGAACTCATTGATGTTTGGCTTGACTGCGTAACATTTCTGGGTGCGCATGTTCAGACTCCCCTTCAGATACGTCGTGTCATCATTGATCACAGTCTTGATCTGTTCTAGGATCATGTCAAATCTACAGGAACAACAATCTCTTTTAAATTATCTACAAACAATACCTATAAGTTCATTATCATAGTATTGAAATATATTTATTTAATCTAAACCTGTTGTCTTCCAGGGAGGTGCTGTATGCCTTTAGTAGAGCAGTGTTGCACTCTTTCAGGACTCCCTGATTGTCAAAGCAATATCATCACTAGATACCAAATTACACTTAAATGATAGAAAAATACCACAATGTCTTACCTGCAAACGTGGCACCAGATCCAATGTATGTTTAAGTTGAATAACATGTGTAATCTTTGCTTCAGCAACTTGAACCTACACAGATACATAACATAACGATTCTTTAATAGAAGAGGATTAAATGGCCAGTAAAATGTAATAGTACAGTAATTGTATTTGTTTTTCTTTAGCAA